TTTTGACAACCGTAACGACTACGATTTAAAGGGTTTACGCTTTTGGTCCAGAAAAAGTGAATGTATTATTAACATTTGTGAGCACGAGAACGAGACCTAACCGACGATTGAACACAACAATATCCGAAGATATTGGCACAGGACTTAGAAAAACTAATAATTAAATAATCTTGATTTAATTCGTTTCTCCCACCCAAGTTACAGATTAGCCGCTAATTTCTATAATCGGCCACTAACCTGTAGCAGTAGTCTTGAAAATGGTTGACGTTAATTTTGGGTAGCATGCAAGCTGATGTGAGTAATGTTTTCTGCTGTTATTGTTTTGTTGGCTGAATGATCTCATAGTAACAGCGGTGGAAAAGGAAGTACAATCAAAATTCTCTATAACGAAGTCCATGACCGACCAAATGTAAAAATCTTTGGATATCAGAAGGCTGATTTTCTCCGCTATATACAAATTCGTTAGAGCTCTTTGAATAAATCGAATCGATGCTTTCTTTATTTACATATATTTCTTACAATAAAAATAAATATGGATGAGTAACAATAGAATAGCAAAGTTATTATTTCGATTGGTTAGGAAGAATCAACAGAATATTAATCCTCCAAGTTACACTGTCCGATGCCTAGGTCTTTCACAAACAGAATCTTTAAACTCAGTTTTTGTTTTCGGATTTTATTCTTATTTTAATTCCAAGTTATTCAGCATTAACTATTGATAGGAAAAAGAATAAAGATAGAAGCCAGTTCAGAATTTTGTAAAAAAAAAAAACAACCTTATAACGAAGTTTTTAGTTGGAACGAGACCCTTCGTTAAATTGAACTCACTGTGTATTAGCGTTAGCAGATAGGAAATAAAATATATTTTTGATATCACTATGGAAGTTTCCATATAAAAAATTCCCAAACTAGCCAAGAATAACGATAATAGCTCAGCCTTTAACAGTGATGATTAAGTTCAATCAGATAACGACAAGCTTACCAAATTGAGTCGTTTTCAAGGAAAATGAATATTAGTTTTAATGGATTATTAGCAACAAAATAAATATCTTTATCAGAACCTTGGTAAAAAGCATCCTTCCAAACTGTGTTGCAGTTGCAAAAATTTATTTATTTATTCACATATTGCATACTGCAGAATACAAATTGATTTTTTTTATTATAATAAACATGAAAATAAATAATTTATGGACGTTGGCGTGAATGGAATTGTAAAAAAGCTATGTACGTACTTGCAATAAATATAATGAAAAAAAATATATATATATATATGTGGGCGTCGGACCCTTGACAATCACCAGAGGTCGGTTACACCAAAGTGTATTAAGAGTATTAGTCATCCGGTGATGTAATCAATTTTTGCTTGGCTGCATAAATACAAAACTGAAATAGGAGCGAACATTTGAAGATTAGTCTCGAGTGCACCAAAAGTTTCTCATTGAATAAAACAGTTATTTCAATTTACCTCATCAAAGAGAATATACCCTCCAAGGTTCGTATCAATCGAATCGAATGCTTCCTTAAGCGCTTTTTTCGTACGCGCGTGGATCCCCATGAGTTCGTGTCCCTTCTTGAATTCCTCAAAACTGATACGTCTGTCCTTATCTATATCAAGCTGACTAAACAACTTGAATAGTTGGTTATAGTAAAAAAGAAGATCTACGAGGCGGCCGAATTCTTGGAAATCGATGAAACCATCCTGATGGGAGATGACGATATTTAGCATAGTAAAAAAATATATGCTTTAATATATCCAATGAGAGTTATTTTGTAAGACAAACCTTTGAAGTATCAGCAGCTTTATAAGCCCGCATGATGGCAGGCTTATCTTTCGCGAGTTTTGGGTAGAGCTCAATGACAGCTTTATCGATTTCGGCGAGAGACAGAATACCGTTACCATTATAATCGAAGACGTTAAAAACCTATCGCAATGATTGAAGATAATAAAGTCAGCTAGGAAGTATTATTTACCATAAATTATTAATGGTCTCGAAATAACATCGTTTTATTAATTACCTCTCTTAGCTTGGCTTTGTCCATTTTACTTTCAGCCATTATAGTGGGAATAAGTTATGAGTATAGTGGGGATAAATTATGAGTATAGTGGGGATAAGTTATGAGTATAGTGGGAATAAGTTATGAGTATAGTGGGAAGGGAATAGGTTATGAGAATGGTGGACAGAAACTTGATCGACTCGATTATTTATATGCTATAGATGTTTTGCTACTTTGTTCCGTTGGACGTACAAATCTTTCACACTACATAATTAACAATACATTTCTGGGAACTTGTGATTGATCAGGGAGATTTTGTGTGGCCTCAAACCAGGCAGTCCAAATCACAATTTCATATTAGTGTTCGATTAGATCAGCTAGATAAACTATTGCCTTTGTTTTCGGGATAGATTTGGGGCACAACTGATTTGTTTTATTCCGTTGTATTACATTAATCAATAAGGTAATAATGTATAAAAAATATGGTTTTCTTACTGAAGAATAAAGAATAACGATTATACGCAAGAATTTCATGAATCTGCATGTAAATTTTGAGTGTAGCCTTTGTATTCCCTTGACACAATACCATATAAAGACTATATTATTAAGGAGGATATTATTCATTGTTTCGAGAAGTTTATTTTAAATTACTTTCACTGAATCAGGAGCACATTTAGGACACCAATATGCAGAGTAAAAGGAAATCATATTCTCGAAAAAAATTCAAACCCAATTTTTGGGTTTGAATAGCGATTAAAAGAAAATAATAGGTCTAGTACTTTCTATTTGGAATTTGAATAATGTAGATTGACGTAGGTTTACATGGGATGTTGTGTCTGAAATTCAATTTTCGGGTTACGCAAATAAAAGGTTAAAAATCTCGAAAATAATAAATAATAATGACGAAATAAATAATATAAAAAACTATCAGTCTTTCTTTTTTTGTTTTTATAATTGTAGTGAATTGAATATTCAACTTGCGGAACATGCGAAAATCAAAATTTTACACGCGAAATCAAATAATATATTGGCGGAATCCGCGCATATAAGATTTTAGTTGCGGAAATTTGCGAATCGGGTGTTGTTCAACGCCTAAACGAACCTAAGGTAGATTGGCGTTGTTTGACATCATACAACGCGTCGAACAGCTTCATTTTTTATACTGCAATAGCATTTATGGTTAGAATAATGCTATAATGCTTGAACATTAATGTTAATTCCATTCAATTTGTAAAGCTATTAATTATGTAGTACATTATAGGACAAAAACACGTACTACAGTAGTACCGCATTAAGTGGGGATCGTAAATTTTGGCTTACCTATAAAAGATCACCTTTAATAATATCAATGCCTCATATTATTCAAGTATGAAATTTTTTATCTGTGCAACCAGTCTCCAATCTGCGCGGTGCGCAGACTACGCAGGTCAATTTTAAACGCTGATTGTACCCGGATAGATCATTGACCAATGAGGTGGCGCAAATTTTTGATCTGCCGGCAATCTGACACAAGATATCGGTGAGGCAGTAAAATCTTTCTGGCTACCATTTTTTCCATAATAATGCTAACCAATCAATTTAGATCGCATGATTTGTTTCAGTTTTGGACTAATTATATACTTTCTAAATTCCATCTCTATAAAATGTTAAAGGTTTTAAAATGACTCATTATATTGTTAAGATTTCTACAGCATAGAAAAATTATGTTTATATAGTAGAAATAGATCCCGGATATAATACAGGTAACAGACCCAGGGTCTTTGATATGGCCATTTACGGTAGTTACACACGCGTGTGTGAACTTGTTTTTTTCGTCGTGTCATGTACAACAGCAGCCGCAAAAAAAAAACTATGCGTTACCAGCATCTATCGTAAGATTTCCTAGCAACGTTAGCAACAACAATAATAACAGACGACAATTGAATATCAGATGTTAACACATTCCTTATATTTTTACGAAGCGCAGCGAAGTGGTAGGCTGCCTTCTGATAATCGGATAAATTGATCGATGTTTAACGCACAAATCGTGATCAATATTTTATATTCGAATTCCAATTCTAATTCCAATTTGAATAATTCTATTCAGGTGACATGACTCTGCTCTGCAAGATGGAACAAATTTATCATCTATCGATTGATATTATCCTAATATTGGCTGTTTTTGCAGCCTTTGTTTCGTTTTAATAAGTCTTTATTTTGTTTTAATAAGGGTTATTATGATGCTGGTAAAATTCTCACCAAATCATCTAGTGCTATTTTCATTTTTTTTGTTATTCTCTAAGGTGATTATGTAAGATTCGCTTTTCCTTTTACCTGGACTGCAATGGCATCTACCTCGATACTTTTTCGTAATAAATCTAATGATGATGCTTATGCCGACACACTAATTTACCATGCCAAAGATTTTGCGAAATCTACGCCATTCGCGTTATATCAGGATTCAATTCCTGCTGCAAAAGAATTTTATGCTTCATCCAGCTACAACGACGAACTAGTCTCGGGTGCATTATGGCTACATCGAGCAACAAATGATTATAGTTACCTTTTGAAGCCTGGAAACTATTTTAATATTTTGTCTCTTTCCAAACAAACTAAGATTTTGGTTTGGGACGAAAAACTCGGAGCGGTTTATGTTTTGGTGTACAACAACAATCAAGATAGCATGCAAGCACCACTTGGAAAGCAAAGGTTGAACACTACCAAGATGGATTTATACGATAGACTACTGGTGGATCTAAGCTTACTCCTGGAGGCCTGTTGCAGTGCAAAAGAAAAAGTAACAACGCGGCTTTAAATTATTCTCTGAATATTGTCTATCTCTGTTTAATATATATATCTACCGGAGAAAAATCCAATAATTATATAATTTGCAATGCAACAACTTGGTAATATACACCAAAAGTTTCTTACGTTATTGGGGTACATTCCAATTCTTTGCAAAATTCGCATCACGATGGCGGAACGATTTGTATGATCCCGATTACCCAGCATGTACTTTACGGTACTATTGTCGGAGGTCCAGACAAAAAAGATTGATTATCTGACGATAGATAAAACTATCAGGAGACTGAGGTTCTTTTTTTCTTTGCTGTATTTGTGTTGATTCTTTATCTTGAAAATTGTTAATTTATTACTTGAATGCCACCCCCTAAAGCGCGGGTCATGTGATAATTTTTGATGATGTCAGAGATGATGACCAATTAAATCGCAAGATCAACGTGTAACGCAAAGATTCAAAACAAAGACATTGAAAAAAGCTTTTATCGGTATCTCAAAGTCTAGCCTTTGCGAAAGTTTACTATAAGTACATTTTTTGTTTGCTAAATAACCTTGACCCTTTCGATCGTTGACGTCATCAACAAATTATCACGTGACCCGCACTTTAGGAGGTCGTCCTGGCCTGGTAGTGTAGTGATAAATGCTCAACCTGATCCATACTCGGGGTACAGAAGATGATCTTTTATTTGAATCAGATTGTGAGAATAATATTGAAATTAATAATGATGAATATCAAGATATTGTCAAAGAAAATGATGTATCAGCCTCTGAATTTGAAGAACAAATATTATATCTGCTATCAAATTTTGTGCTTATTTGCACTTTTTTGAGAGGTGAACTCTAACTTGGGGGGGGGGTAGTGCTTATTTCCGGGACTATACGGTATCTGATTGTACCGAAACGCATTATTTTTGTGGCGTATTATTGTGTTGGGACATTTGTGTGGAAAAGATTGTTAGATGATTAATAAATAATAATATGATGTATATTCGAATGTCAGAATTTATATCACGAATAGGTAAATTTGTATTTTTATTAATTCTATAATTACTATTATTTGGATCACTAAGTAACACATAATAAGCTTATCCCGCGTTATTTTTGCAAATACTTTCCTCAACTTTATAACCATTTTTATTTAATTCCAGTCCAACACTATGCACAGTCTCTAAAAAAACGCGAGTTGCTTCCGGATCAATAGTCGGTAAAATCCCATGTCCCAAATTCACAATATACCGTTGATTTGTGCCAAAAGCGGTCAACATCTGTCGCACGGTCGCTCGAATGGCGTCATCGCCGCCATTTAACATAGAAGGATCCATATTTCCTTGAAGCGTGACTCGACCTTTTGTGATTGATTTCGCATAGGCGGGATCCACTGTCCAATCCAATGAAATCGTATCGTATCCACTCTCAGATAGTGATTCGATCGCGTACCATGAACCTTTGGCAAATATTGTCATTGGGACGAGAGATAGTCCATCTTGCAAAAGTTGTTTTTTTACGCGTTGTGCGATTTGTTTTAGATATGGTAGTGAGAAAGTGTTGAAATCGTGTGGTGAAAGTTCGCCTCCCCATGATTCAAATACTTGTACAATCTTAAATCGTAGTATTAGTTGTAAGAGATTTCAGCAAAATTTCATAATAATAGGTAATGAATACTTCATTCGGATATTCGTTTTAATTATTACCTGAGCACCGGCTTTTATCTGTCCCACCAAAAAATCTACTGCAACATCCGTGATTTTCTGTAACAATTTATGACTGTCCGCAGGATACTTGAATAACCATGTTTTTGCTTTCGATAATGAAGTGCTACCACCACCTTCAATCATATAAGCCATCAAAGTCCATGGCGCACCAATGAATCCAAACAAAGGAACTCTGCCTTCCAAAGCTTTCCGTGTCATTGTGATCGCATCAAACACATATCCCAGTTCTTCATACACGTCTACTACTTCCTTCAATTTCATTAAATCCTCGGGCAAAACTAAAGGCTCGGGAAAATTCGGACCTTTGCCGGGTAACATTTCGACGACCATACCGAGAGCTTGTGGGACTACAAGAATATCTGAAAATATAATTGCTGCGTCTAATAATCCGTCGTATCTGTTGATTGGTTGTAATGTGACGCGGGTGGCTAGTTCTGGAGTTCGACATATAGTGAAAAAGTCATGTTCTTCGCGTTCTTTACGGAATTCTTTTAAAAAACATAATTAATTTACATACAATGACAACTCTTCCTGTACAATTTTATTTTACCAGGTAAGTATCTCCCAGCTTGTCTCATTATCCATACTGGTGCACGTTCAGTAGGTTGTCCTGTAAATTATATAATAAGAAAATTCAAAGTTATTATCTAATGCGATTTTTAGGAGCAATAATGATAGATATTTCCAATATATAACCGGTAGCAGCTCGAAGTATAAGATCGTTTTTTAAAGGCGGAAAAGCGTTCATACTGAGAAAAGTGAAAATTCGAAAAAGAGCGCGCAAAATTTTATAATGTGTGCATGAATGCAGGGTTTTTCCGGATATGTCATACTCAACAACGGGAACATCATACTTTTTTTAAAAATGTGCTTACAGAGGCGGTATGACTGCATGCAAGTTATTTTATGTACATGGAGACACTAACTATATACAAGTTGCTATAGAAAGATAGAAATTCTTGAAAAATTCACTACCAATCGTAATTCTAACGAACAATTTAAATGCTACCAAAAATTGGGAGTTGGCTAAAGCATTGTGAGTCCGAGAAACAAGCCAATAAGAATGCGTAAATTTGATCAATTCGAAACAAATCCGAAGCACGAACGTAAAAATATGGAAAATGCATGCTTTGTAGCACTAATTAAAAACGTCGAAGAGGCAATTTTACTTACATTTTAGGCTTCCACTCTAACCCTAACGGTAAAATTAACCTTTAACCGCGCTTTAGCGCATCTCCAAAATTGGTAGTGTGATTTTTCAGGTTAACTTAATACGATTAATTCGCCCCGCCCAATGATCATTGGGTAGCACCGATCATCAGCGGAAATAACGAAACGGTTATCGTTATATAAATTTTTACTAATAGCCTCGAAGAGTATCTTTGTAGCTCATGTCTAAAATAAAAGCAAACTCTCAAATCGATGAATTGAACCAATATTCTTCAACCTCAATCAATAATAATGACAACAATTTAATAAGTACCTTTGAAAAATTAGGACTTGAAGCCTGGCTCGTGGACGCGTTAAAAGCAATGTCCATCAAATTTCCAACAGAAATTCAAACTGCATGTATACCACCAATACTAGCTGGGCGAGACTGTATAGGCGGGGCAAAAACTGGGTCCGGTAAAACAGCAGCATTTGCATTGCCAATACTTCAAAAGTTGTCTCAAGATCCGTATGGTATATTTGCCTTGGTTCTTACTCCTACAAGGTATTACTTTAATGTGCAACAATAAGAGAAAATTGTTTTATGATTGAATATTTTTTATTTATAGGGAATTAGCGTTCCAAATTGCCGAACAATTTCGTGTTTTGGGAAAAGGAATTAATCTTAAAGATTGTGTTGTTGTGGGTGGTCTGGATATGATGAATCAAGCACTCGAGCTTTCTCGTAATCCTCATGTTGTCATCGCTACTCCAGGACGATTGGCGGATCATATTAATAGTAGCGCGAATGCAGTTAATCTTAAAAAAATCCGATTTCTAGTAAGCATTAAATAATTTATCTTTACTCTATTCAACATCAAGTATAACAAATACATTTAAAAATGAAGTAGGTGCTTGACGAAGCTGATCGTCTTTTATCCTCGACATTTTCAAACGATCTTGACGTCATATTTGATAATATATCACAAAAGCGTCAGACTTTGTTATTTACAGCAACCATGACCGAAAGTATTCATGCATTAAGTGGTTCAGATAAAGAGCCTTCGAAGCGACCATTCATATATCAAATCAAATCTGAGTAAGTCCAATAATATAAATATATAAGTATTGATATATAAACTATAAGCTTATTAATTTTCGATGAATTCTTTCAGAATAACAACAGTTTCGACTTTAGCCCAATATTACATATTTATACCATCGCATATTCGTGAACCATATTTAGCATATCTCTTACGATCCGACGAATTTGCCAATAAATCCACTATTATATTTTGTGGAAGATGTAGAACGGCCGAAATGCTTCGTGTAATGTTGTTCGAATTGGGAATTCGATGTACTAGTTTACATTCGACAATGAGTCAACAGGAGAGACTTAATAGCCTTGGAAAATTTAGAGCCGAAGTGATTAAAGTTTTGATTGCAACTGACGTTGGGAGTCGGTAATTTCTTTTTTTTTTGATATTATCCTTATGTGTATTTTATAGTTATGGTAATAATTTATTTATGTACTTGATTAGTGGTCTTGATATCCAAACGGTTCAATTAGTTATTAATTTTGATATTCCTCGAGATTCGACTGATTATGTTCATCGAGTTGGTCGTACAGCGAGAGCAGGTAAATATTGGTTATCTATTTTTTAAAGTAATTGATATATGATTTATTTGGATATCTCACTTTTTAGGACGAGGCGGTATTGCAATTTCAATTGTTACGGAACGTGATGTTGAATTAATAGAAAATATTGAAACTAGAATAAGTAAAGTGTCCTTTTTTAAATAAAAATTCAACACAGGTGATGATAGATATATACCAGATAAAATTAATGTTGTTTATTTGTTTTAATAGATAAAAAGATGGATGAATGGAAAATCAGCGAAAATAAAGTGTTGGAATCGTTAAATGAGATTGCGACTGCAAAACGCGTTGCCTCTATGGTAAGTGAATTGATTTTTTTGTAATAGCTAGCTTTTAATTTCGATGATTGCTTATTATTCAATAATAATATTTTAGCACCTACATGATACAAAGTTTGGCGCCGCAAAAGAAATACAGAAAAAGAAGCGTGCCATGTTGGAAGATGGCAACGGATTCGATAAGAATGCTCAAAAACGTCCACAGAAAAAAGTTAAACGAAAAATAATAATAGACCAATAATTCAACTATATTCAAATCGAATAAATAATGATGACTATTTTTTACTAGTACTAGTATTTTTCCTCAATTTCATTGGTGCCATTATTATGATCATCATCAGCACTATTCACTTCAACTTTCCTTTTCTTTCTGCACAAAACAACAAATGTAAAAAAATGATTTAGTTATCAAGCTAACAAATGATAAATTTATTTCTCGTTACCTTTCTCGCGCTTCCTCGTGATCATTATCAGCTTGTTCAGTAAGGCCCAAAGAAACTGAGATTTCAGGTTTCGAAGGGACGGCACCGAAAGCAACACTTGCGTTTAATCGAAAGCTGACGCAATACATATCTTTGTTTGGAGCAACACTCCGCACGAAGTGTACTGTAAATGCATCATTTGGCAAGGAAGATGCAGGTTCATTCAAAATTAACCTTATACGCTATAGTAAGTATGCATTATTTAGATGTGTATTCTATGAGCAATTAATGATTATCTTCCTGCACGACATTTGGATACAAAGTAAAATTGAGTAAATATATTAAAAAATAAATCTATAAATACCTCAATCAATTCAATTTCCGGTGTTTCACTCTTTGAAAAACAATGACAATGAATCATTGGTAGTTCTGTTAAAGGAGAGTCGATCACGGATTCCATTTCGTGATATAGTCCTTTGAACGCGTCTTTATTTTTATTTATAGTTATATTTATATTTATGATTACATGTAGCATCAGATTGTGTTAAATAATGCAACACTAATAAATTGTTTCAAACACATACCCAAAAATTCTATAGCTGTGGCAGGCAAATTCATAACAAAATGATCAAACATTTGAAATCTCTGCGTTTTAAACGTACTCCCGGTTATTGATTTTGAGATTGCAGCACTAGTAGTGGTAGTAGCAGCAATAGCTGATGATGCGATATTCGCGTTATCCGTGGATGATGTTAATATTGACTTGTCATTTGATAATTTTTCATTATTGTCATTGTCATTGTTGGTTGGACCCAAAGTAGCATGCAAGTCTTTTACTATTTTTCGTATGAAATCGCGTCCGTCCATATTATATGAAAAAATTCGTGATTGAACCTATGGTCAAAAATCTGATTTATAACTTCACCACCTCCATGATTAAAGATGACAATTAAAGTAGCATCAATACCTTATTGAGAACGCCATTCTCTTGCAAATATTTATAAGAAATGGGATTCAAATCATTTGCGTATACAATACACCCTTTTTTCGCTGCAGGAACCGCAAATGGTCCTATCCCTGCAAAAACATCACCTGAAATATCATAAGTCATTTATTATTATGACAAGACAGATTATTTTTTTTTGAATGAATCAATAGCAGTTTTATGTACATATATGATCGCCCTTTTTGAATAAATTCACAAGACGCTCGTGCTCAGAATGTAATCGTGAATTCCAATACACTTGAGAAAAATCTAATCGAAATCGGCAATTGCCTTCTTTCTGTCATAATATATTTGAAAAATTAGGTTATTTAACTAAAGTTGAATATTAATTTAGATGAACTTAAGAAAAACCATACCACTTCGGCAATCATGTTATCAATTCCAGCTAAGATTTCCATACTAAAAAATCGAAATGTTGTATCTATTATATCAGTTTTGTTGACGACTGTTTTGATTTTTGGATTTTTCTAGGTTAATCCGATTGTTGTATAATAATAAAATTAGGATTTCTTCGTCACGTAAGAATCAACAGAAACAATATACATACATCAAGAATTACTTGACCGATAATTTTCTTCCACGGCAGGAATTCATCTCGTAAATTCATATGTGCTATAAGAGAGGAATAGAATGATATTAAAATTGCTAGGATTAATGAAAAATTTCATAATTTATATGTATCATCATTCTCACCGATATGCCCGATCTGTGTAAAGGACGAAGGCACTTCACTGTCTTCCGGCAAAATAGCTTTCAGGATATCATCTTTATTGAATTAATATTAGGTAAAGAAATTATCATTTTTTTTTTGATAATGAAAATTATGAAATATTTAATTTATAGTCAAAAGAATTAACGTGCGTGCAATCAAATTCAAACAATACAACTACTAACATTATATATGAATGAATGATCATGTATATATACCGGCACCCCAATTCCCGTAATCAAGTTCAACAGTATGCTTGACGAAGCCCAACGCTTCATGACTGATCAGATCTCGGGATTCTTGTGAGATGTTTGCATCATCGATTTGTTCTATTGTCGGGTTGATGACGTGGAAAGAAATTGCTTCTTGAGAAATTGGTTTTTGAAAAACTGTATATCTACTAAATCCAAACTGATTAATTGATGATTTTAATTCTATAAATTCTTTAAGCTTTGAGTTTTGTTTGTTTGTTTGTTCTAGAAGATAGTAATCATTATTTCTCTATTCCGCGAAAATCTATCGCGTGATTGATTTACACCCAAATTCATAGAACCTACCTAAACTCTGAACTTCTGATTTCAATAGAATGATCCTCGTATCTTTAGATTCTGGATCATTAGCGACATTTTTCATTTTTGGCTGATGAAATAAATCACTTCACAAAAAAAAGGGAAAATACGCGCGTACTTCAATTACTTTTCTTCAAGATTCACCTTCAAACAACATTACATACTCTTTTAAAACCTTCAAAAACTTTGCAGTAGAATTTGCAGCGATACGGACTCCAACTAGTTCCACTTTAATGCGAAATAATTCTCGTTGTAAAATTTTCATTCCACGATGAATCGGTGGTGGTATCATTATTTGCTTTGACAAAAAAATTGTTACACGAGCGAGTGAGTCATTTTGTTGATTTCAGAATCTATCCCGGCACATAACCCGATATTAATGCGCCAAGCACTACTCTATAAATAGGATCTAATCTACTCCGTCAACAGAAACAATCTCTTGATTGAATGAGAGCTTGAACAATCCGTCTTCACGCTATATAGCAAGAACCCAATGCATATAGAAACCATTAGTAAAATATTCAAAATCGAAAATTTTATAAACGTGCTTTTTTTGACTATGAATCCTTTCAGCAGGGACGAAACTTGTTGACATTGCTTGACATTTAATTGATCGCAGAAATTGGTATCTTCAGGTTTGCACCCTATCAGCACATAATATAAAATTTTAAAACATGCTGAAAGAGTTTATTTGGGTTGGTTAAACCCATTTCGTACTAAGAAATTACTGAATTCGCTCCGGCATGCTGTCGACCAAATTCTCGATCATTGTCTTGGAATTGCTTTCCATGCATCCTTCACACACTGCTCAAGTTTAACAAGGTTGGAAGGCTTCGGCTTCGCTTGACCTCAGCCCACAGATTCTCAATCTGGACTTTGGGCGGGATGGAATGCAGCTGCAATTTTCGATTGTGAGGTGTATATATCATTGTCTTCCTGCAGTTGGCCATTGCCACGCGCTGTATTGTGGCTATGACGTACTTACGCAGTATCGATTCCATACAAAAAACTGTCTATTGTAAAGAAGGTAATAAATCCAGAGCAATATTCAATATTAATGATCATTTAATACATTTAGGATTATCCGTTATTCTATCGCTATTATTATTCTATTATTAAATTAATTACATTGTGCGCCAAAAATGACCACGCGAAATTGTATTGTTAATCGTGTCCGTGCTATTCATGCTATCACTCAGAATTTTGAATCACCATAAAATTTACCAAACAACGCATTCATTCAATTTTTTATCGTAAGGGAGAGAATAACCCTTACTAAATTGCTTCCATATAGAAAATTTAGAATTTAGAGTAGAATAATAATCAGTTATAGAATTAATATTAATATAATAAAAATGACTGTGTTGACTGAAAACATGTTGCTGTCTAAAACGAGTGCCAAATCGTTGAGCGAAGTACGGCACTTGAATTTATGGGCATGTGAACTTTCTAACGTGAGTTTATTGAAAAAGTGTCCGAACCTCGAGGTACTTAGTTTAAGGTAACTCTTTTAAGGAGACGGACTTCTTTATGTTGTAGAAGTTAGCCAATATAGAAAAACATCTATATTTACGAGTATATTTTTTCTTTAAAGTGTCAATAACCTTACTACTTTGGAACAGCTTTCAGAATGTGAGTACCGCAAAAAAAGCATGTATACACATACTACAAAAATAGTCAATAACAATATTTCCAATTTATTCAATAGGCAAAAACATAATAGGTTTGCCGAATTTATTGTAACTATTATGCGAAAAATAAAAATTGTGCGTCTATAATCATCCTTCTCTCAACCAGAAGAATATGCTTCCTCTCACCCCAAAATTCACTGCATAAATAGAATTATATTTGAGGAAAAATTACATCGATGATCCAGAACAAGTCAAACATCTGACGGCACTACGAAATTTGCAAGTGTTATGGTTATGCGATAATCCATGCGCCGAAAATGAACGCGAATATCGATACGTGGTCTTACGATACTTACCTTGGATAAAGAAATTAGATCATCAAGGTATGAGAAAATAAGTGATAATCACCATGGAAATATATATTAATTAATATAAGGAAACTTTAAATTAGATGTGACAGATGAAGAAGTTTTAGCCTCGATGAATTCTACATCTTCAACTATGCCATTAAAGCCTCGAAAAAGACATACAGTTTCACCAAAACCAATTGTCAGTCCAACATCGAAGCCATTCTTAATCGACAGTGTTAATTTGAATGGTAACTCTCAAGAATCAATAGCAACAGCAACAACTACTCAAGGAATAACAACCACTAAAGATGGCGAAAATAGTCGTTCACCACCAATCAAGAGTAATGGGATCAATGGAGCAAACAGCAATTTTGCAAAATTTAATAATCATAATTCGTCATTAATAGTAAATAGACCAAAATCTCCTGCGATAACAAAGCGAACACCATCCCCAGCAGTATTACTAATAAATGGAAATGAGGTTTCATCATCGATTAAAGTAAATGGAACTATTACAGGGACAAATAGCAAAACTTTTTCTCCTGTTATGTCAGTGATGACACCAAGTCGAACGCCTTCCCCGAGAATATTATCGCCCGCGCCAAGACGTGTTAACAATCTAGAAGCCAAAATTGGTGTGGCTTCATCTTCAGAAAGTGTCACTTCAACAAAATCTTCTAAAAATCATGGTAACAATAAAATAGAAAATGGCGATGAAACTAGACAAGTAAGTATCCTAATAATGTTTTATTAAGGCTTTTATATTTAATATTTAATTTTTCTCATTATAACTTCAATTAGTCAAATGTGCTTACTGCCGTACTTGCATTACTGGATGAGCTTAATGCGACAGACTTACAAAAGGTGCAACGAAAAGTACAATTACTAATACTAAATCGACATGGAAAATAAACAAGCAAAATTTCATCTTTTTCCTTATTTCTTATCATATTAGATATTTAATAATCATCATCCATCCATCCATCCATTTTTGATAGCGTTTATAGATAATGTTAATTTTATTATAGATTCCTTTAGAATGTAAATATATAAATTATTTTTTCACTTCTTTTTTAATTGTGTGTTGTGCAAGTTCCTAGAAGAATAAATAAGGACTAATTCAATAAAAGTAATAATTACCGAAATTCTCTATATTCTAAATTACCACCCATTCTAATATTATGATGGTCCGTTGGAATAGTGATGAAATTGTTCTCTATGCCGATTACTAATACCCCCTAGAGAATTATCCCAACTCGATCCTGATCTACTGTTAATCCCAACATCATCTCCATTTGTACTATTTCGATTTGGTTCTATTTTATTCAGCACATGATCCAATATTTTGGTTAATTTTTCATTGTCCTCGCGAGCTTGAACTAAATGGGATTGCAATTGCTCTTGAAAAGTGCGATTATTCTTAAGGTCTGAACGCAGTTCGGCTACTTCACTCTCTAATTTATGTAGTGTTTCGTCTACGTGATTGTTGCGTTCTTTGGTGTGTTTATAAGATCTGAAAATGAAATCATAGCGCATTTATTCATTTGTTGATCATGAAATCGACAAAATGATCAATAATAAATTATAATATTCGATTCACAAACCTCGTTTGTTCCCATATTATTAATGATCCAGCGATCCCAAAAATTATTGCTTCACCTAAGAAATTGGCACCAGCTTCTATTGCTCTATCCGAGAAAAATTTATCAAGAACACCGAAATTAACTGAAAAATCCGTGAATTGGATATTTACATAGAATACACACGCATACACAATCTTACGCATAAAATTGTCTGAAACTTACTTACTTAGCATCATTCAAAGGTCGAATCTTTTCCTCTGGTAAATTTAATAAACGCAATTTCAATTGCATCTCAAGGCGATGTGTAGTCTATATTTTTAAAATAAAATTTGTCGATTTATCTATCATTCATAAACAAACGTTTGATTCAATCTAAATTACATAACGAAAGAATACCTGTGCTACGTTTATACAAATTTCTCGAAACCTTTCGTGTCTTTTGCTGTATTCCTGCTTACATAATGTTTTCAATGATCGAAGGAAGTAGGTGAGAGCAAAAATTATAAGACGCGAGAAAAGTGATGGTGGTGAAAGGAGAATCAAGTTTATCGCAGAAGAAAATGCGTAATCAAAGAAAAGTTTTAAAAATAAATAAATTATAAATCGCTTAAAAACTTTGTCTCCATTCCCCCAACTCTTCCCCAACACCACCACTCACCATCAACGCAGCACTAAACCTCCTGCCCATGGTATACGTAAAATACCATAAAAACAACTTCCCACCTACTTTGATACTACTCGCGATTGGTTTTGCAATTGTGCGTATGAGTAGAATGCCAAGTTTTGTGGTACTCATGTTTGGAAAAAGTCTCGACGAGGTTTTCGGCCACGTAAAGGAGAGTAATGGTAGGTGGTGATGGAAAGTGGTGGTGGTGGTATTACAGTGAGGTTGGGTTCCTTACTTTTTGGGTGGTGCTAATTAGAAATTGAAGGCTAACAGCGGGCAAGTGTTAAACCATTAAATACGTTCGGATTTGTGTTCCTTACTATTATGTGACACCCGCCCGGGCTGTCTGCCGGGTAAATATTCTCGACAAGTTTTATCCATTCTGCACCACACAAGAATTAAAGAATCACTAAAAAAAACAAACTAACTACATTGAAATTATTAAAGATGAATAACACTGGATGGAAAAAATTTGTCTATTCTTTTAACGTTAAATTCAAAATTGCGGAAAAGGAAATCAAAACTCGAATTTTACTTTTAGACAAAAATCCATATCGATATATTATTTATATATGTTAAATCTACTGACTACCCTAACTAAATTTGTCTAAGTCTCTCTATGTATCGATATATATGTGCAAAACTAATCAAAGCTAAATATAACCGTATAGCCTAATATTATATTCACCATAGAAATCGCCTGACATTTTTCATCGCTACTTAGACATTTCCTCTGAAAAGCGTCTAAAAGGCATTCTAAAGATGACTGCTTTTTTTTCCCATGTAAACTGTTCATTAAGCTCTGTGCAAAGGTTCGAGGAAGGTGCACATACAATAACAACATCGTCAGGTTCAATTCTTGGAAGATAGATTATGCCAGCCTTTATAATTAATGAATTATTAATCAGATTAATAGTTAAACCGTTTTTTCAAATATTAAAAATATTCATACCATATTTCCAAGTTTTAACTTTTCGATTTCAGCCTCAAATTGATAATTGTTAGATAACGATGTCATTATATGCAATATTGTTTTGGAAATGCATCTCGTTTTGAGAAAGTCGATAACATATGACTCGGCTATTATATAGTCCATATAAACTTCGTCCTCAGATTCTAACGTCGCACTGTAAATAATAACGAAAAATCTAGGCTTAGTATTAATTAATAAAATACACTACATTATTATAGTAATACAGTTGTCCTTTCATATAATTACACTCTCGGAAACAGAAAAAAATTCAAATTTTCTATGCTGGATTTGGAAAAAGCTGTGATTATATGAAAGTGTAATTATATAAAGAGATAATTGTATTATATAGAAAATATATATTTAGCTTAAGTCATGCTAAGTTAAATTTCTTTTCACCATCCATCCAATCAAAATTCTAGATATTATCATTTTTCAACCAATAAAAATTCACTTTCTACAGATCCAAATTGTTATTGTTCTTCAAGATAAGAAATTGTAAAACATTATTTCTTGTATTTTCTTAATCAACTTGTTTAATTAGCTCTTAATTATTCCTTAGATTTTTTCTTCAATTCTATAATGCCAAATACTAATTATATTAATTAAATTATTTTTTATAACCATATGCAAATTTGAAAATTGTGAATTATTATCTTGATTTGATTTTGATATTGAAATATCTTTCAAAATGCTGATCAACTTTATTAAATGCTGGAATCACTTTTTGATTGCTATTATTGCTAATGAATTGTTGAAATTGTTGAATCCATAAATTCATTGTTTTGCTTTTTTGAAAATTCCAGAAATTGTTGAATCCATAAGCTCATTGATTTGCTTTTTTTGAAAATTCCAGACTTTTGAATATAATAATTAATTCTGTATTGATGTGTTCTCATTTGATACTGTATTTGCTTTGATTTCTTTTATCAATCTATTTGTTAAATTCATTTTATACTAAAAATAACTTAGCATAATCTTAATTATTATATATTTATATTTGATATTTCAAATATTAATATATAAACATTTAATTACTTTTGTTATAAAACAAAAAGCAATAAAAATTATCTCATGTTTTGTAAATCAAAGATTTTTTATAAATAATTGAATATAATAAAAAAATTAAAATTTTTATTATAACCAATTTTTTAATAAAAATCAAAAAAAAATAAATACTTGAAAACACTTACAATAATTTTTCATCTGGTATGTTTAAAGATTCAATTTCAATTTGTGCAATATATCTATCAGATTTTTCTTTCTTGTACAAGTAACCTTTCCAGTTTTTCACTTCAATTAGCTAAAAAAAAACAATTTTATTAATTAATAAATAAATAAATATGAAAGATTAAAATAAAATAAAATATATGCTCTTACTTTTTGGTTGGATGATTTAATAACCTTTTCTTTTAAAGTATTTGAAGATGTAGAGGCTTGATCTTGATTTTGATTCAATTCTGAGAATAAATCCGACATCTTTATTTCATTAGGCGTTTTTTTAGGGATTTTCAAAGACCAAAGCTTCTTCTTTATGATATCATCTTTTGTATTGTCATTATTATGATAACTAGTGCTAGCAGTGGTCGTAAATCTTGTATTCATTGAATTTCGTAAATCCCTGATTTTACTTTTCTCTTCCAGTTGTGTTCTTCTGATAGCAGATGTCAGTTTCTTTACGGTTTCTTTTCCGTTCACCGTTTTCTTTTGGATGTTTGCAGTCGGATTTCGAAGCTGGGGTTTTCTCAATAAAAAGTCCGAGTTAGAGATCGAATGCGATTTTCTACTTCTTTGCGAAGATTTTATAATTTCTCGATGTTGGGTGGATTTTGATGCTGATGATCTTGTTAGTGGTTTAGTAGTAACTGTTTTCATCCCCAACTTCGCTAAAAATTCCTTTTTCGCATCTGTAAGAGGTGAAAGAGGTTTGCCCGTGTCCACGTCAGAATCGTCAGAATCGTCACAATCGATGGTGATCATAGCTTCTTCTGAAGATGAGGAATTGGAGTCTGAAGCTACTTCTTCGTCGTCACCGATTTGTTTAAGCTTTTTTCGTGTTTCAGTTGCCTTGGGGTTTATTTTATCGAGAAATTCACGAAGTAATTTGCTGCAGCTTAAATTGGAACGCGGTTCCCAAGTTGTTTGTTCATAGCCTATTGTACTTCAAGTATAAGCAAAGACTCGAAAAAATACATAGGGCGTCTTATAATTATACTTGCCAATCCACTTTATTTCGTATTCCTCTCGACCATTCTTTATTCTTCGGTCTAAAACTGCTTCGACATCGTATTCGTCCTGGTCAGACATTATTGACACAAAAATTGGCAATATTGTTAGAGTTTGTACGCAGGAATATTATCGTTATACTTGCAGTTCTCTGTTAAACTATTGAACTAGAAGCCATATATGGACATTTAAAATATGTCATCGTAACCTTAATAAAAGTATGACACGTGATGATAATAAGGATAATAAGTTTATTATGTTTGTAGAACCATTACCATTACAAAACTTTCATTTTGTTAAGCTTTACACGACTACCAATACCAATCCAGGTTAAGGTAAAGGCCAAAAGCCAGAACCAAATATGATTAAAACGGTCTGTTACCCAATCCCTTTGAGTACCACCCAAAGCCGTGAGCCAAGCGAAAAGTAAAATAGTATAACCAGAGATGCGATGATATTTATATATTCCTCTAGCACGAGCAACACCGCCAAATAGAGCTGGGGCATTAACTACCAATGCCCCTCCCAATACTTGGATGAATATAAGTGAGAGAGTAAGCACTCCAAACATTCCGTGAGCAGATGTGACTATCGAGAAAGATTTTAATTAGTAAGATTATTTATTATTCCTAATACAAGAGAAAGAAACAGCTTACAATGTTCAGCGTTATGATCCTTTTTATTTGTATAAATAATATAGAATCCACAGATTCCAGTCAAAAAGGCGAGAGATTGAATTGACCTATGAACATTGAGACCTTTTTCCTTTTCCTCTCGCGTTTCGGCTGTTTGAAGCAAAAGAGGACCTAAAAAATTTATATTTTAATGAATAAATAAGTTATTTATTAAAAAGGATATTCGCCAAAAATGTCGTTCTTTTAGAATCTATCTACTTTTAATTCAATTCATAATTTTGAGAGGAAAAATAACACTACGACAAAACAAACCTTGAGTCAAGAGAAATAAAGTGGTTGACATAAAAATTGGGTGCCATATAAAAAATTCATGTTCGGCACTTAACACGATATACCAAACTGTCGAGGTGAACATAAGAGAACTTGCTGTAGCAACCCAATACATTGTGAATTCAGAATTGAAGGAAGTTCGACCGGTGAGTGTTGGAATGGAACCGTTGAAAGGCCCCTCTTGAATACCGCCTTCTATCAATGGACTATTTTCTTCCATACTAATTCTTGGTGAAACACTTTTTATTCCTATTTCGGATTATTACCGATGAGTTTACGTTTGCTCAAGCTTTTTTGCTATTTAATGTGTGTGTGAGAATAACAGCATAGAAAATTCTAATTATCGTTATGATAACCAGGTCTTCTATTAACAAGATCGGGATAGTTCTCGTTGACATGATTGGTATTACCGATCATAGGATATGTCCCATCCACCATGTTACACTTGTGTTTCTTAATAAAATATTAAATAGACTTAAATTCACATTCAGGATTTCTAGGTACGATAGTCAACTTTTTTTGCATATCAATCAAATAAATCTACATAAATAAACGTGAGAAAATCATGCGCAGAATTTTGCTAATCAAAACACGGGGCTGGAATCACATTATTCCTAGCCATGGCGAAAAAAATGTATGGTGCATGTGATCTGAAATAGGTCCATTAATATATATTCATTTTGTGATCAGCTAAAATAAGATCAGAAATATTCAAAGATAATTGCATTTTTAAAGTTCAGTTTATAAATAAGTTGAAAACAATATTTTATTATCTTTCAATATTGTAATGATAACTTTATAATAGTGATAAGAGATCAAATACAAGAATTATAACTTCATAGTTAAAATAAAAGATTATAAAACAAATACAGCCAAATCTCTTTATAGTCATCACCCTTGGAAAAGCAAAATTTGGTGACTATAGAAAGGATGTGAACATAGAGAGATTTTTTTACTATGTTTATATGTAAATAGGAAAGCAAAATAAAATGATTATAAAGATATTGTTATCATTTTGATGGAGCTTTCGAAATACTCAAAGATATTTATAAAATTTAAGAAATATTCAAAGGGAAACTTCCAATGTTTTAACGACAATTCAAAGTCTTAATAATACTTTATGACTTTAGACTGAATATGAATTAAAGTACGACAAGTACTTATA